AAAAGCTGATGGAATCTGGGGTTAGGGAAGGAGTGCCAAGTTATTTTTTTTAAAGCAGAGCCGACATGGTAATAGAACCTCAGATCGGGTTAAGGACTGCAAGGCCTTTTCGTGGTAAGGATGACCATGCTCTTGGGCATGGTTGTGTCAACCTCGATAAACTATCTGGGGGAAACTAAGGTTAGATTAGGGGCTCCCGGGTGTTATTTAAAATGAGATTATGTCCCTGTCACTCGCAGTTTGACGCTGTCAATGTTGACGTTGCTTAAGGGAAGCACATGTTTTTAAGGGTAGACATCGTGAGATGTAGGATGCTTTAGTTTATTGGTATTGATATTAAAATGTAGGGGGCATTAGGATATTCTGGTTGAATCGATCAAAATATGAAGTACTGGAATTGTTACCCTGCATGATAACACAGAGTTTTAAAATAAAGTCAAATTTTCTAAAATAAATGAATTCGTGATTTTTGGACCAGATGTGCATTCCATTTGCTTGTAAGGCTTTTATGGTATTTGTCATGGCTCCTGATATGAATAGCTGACATTACATAGCTGGCAATTGCAGCATACAGGACATTTTTAAAAATCCTGAAAAACTTCAATACGGTGGGTACCTAACGAGTTTTATATACATTACACTAAAGAAGCAAGTATAATGCAAGCACACGTTCGCGTCATTAACGATTGCAAACTTCACCGACAATCTAATTGCGATTTAGGGCCAATTAATCAAATATTTGTATTACACGTTGACCTCGTTGATGAAATTTTATAATTGCGTTGCTCGAACCTCTCATCATATAAGTTGGGAAAGTCGGGCAGCCAGTTCATTTTTTAGTCAAAAACTGATGGATAAATGTGGTGGACGAAACGCACGAAAATATCTGGTCCACGCGTGGCAATGACAAAGCAGTTTTTATGAAGATTGAACGCAAAATTTCGCTCTCGTATTTATGAAATCGGACCAAAGTAATTTTACGTGTACGTTTGGCTGCCCTAAAAACACGTGATGAAGTAAGAATTTTAGTACCTTGATACATTTATTATATAAGTAAAAGTATAACTCAAAATAATAGCTTGGAGCGAACCTTTCTAATAGAGCGTCACATTTGCAGGCGCTATTTTGTTTTCCTTATAAGGGTTATGATTGATACCAGATCGATTTTCAGATGCATTACGAGAGCACGGATATGAAATAAATTACATCAGCTTTCCATGGGAGGCTGTTAATTAATTATTAAAAAACAGTTTCGCCTTGCTGTTTATCATAAATTTCGCCCGTTGTTAATATATAAAAATAAGAAAAGTTGTCTATTCTACAATGTTTTTGTTGTATTATTTTATTTCCCTGGAAAAATCCTTCATGTTTTCTTTGTGCTTAACTCTAATTAAAGCATCGTCTGATATTCTATATAAAGAGCTAAGCTCTAATTAAAGGATCGTCTGATATTCTTTATAAAGAGGTAATCGAACTAATAGATCGTTTGATATCCTCCAGAGATCGTGACGATGCGGTGGAAACATTTCGTACATGTTTCGCGTGCAATAAAACTCTTGTGAATCGTGGCGTTATAGTCCAAGCATCTCGATATCGATCTTCATTCTTGAGAAAGGGAAGACCAGCCTTCGAAGTCTCGAACAAAAGGAATACATTGCCAGGCAAGTAACTTGAGACTAGGATGAAAGGAGAAACGAGTTAAAATTAAAAAAAAATCGCACAAGATTGATAAGGTTGGAAAGCTTGCAGGTCGCGAGTTTGAGTTGCTGCAACCTGGTCGGTTAAACCGTTTTGTGTGCTCTAATTAAGGTTTAATTTCATCGCGTGACTCAATTAGTGTATATTTGTGAATTATTTTCAACGTTATATACAAAAACTTAATTCCATAACTTATGGCTATTGATGTTCACTTACACGAAATTCCCGTTTCCCTATCTCCTTCTATACGAAATTTCGACAATTTTTTTTATTCATCTGGATTACTCTGCAGGATCGGATGGACTCATAACACCTATTAGATAAATCTGTAATTATTCATTGAGGGATCAAACCGCTATATGAATGCATTTTATTTATTTATTGCCCTAAATAGCCTGCCTAACGGAGAGATTCGGAGCCGTGTCACTCTGTGCAATAAAAGGGAAAGTTTATCAGAAAAGACGAACACCAACTTGGAAGAGGAATTAATTCGTTAACATCGCTTTCAGGAAGGTGACGAACCCGACTCCTCTTAATTACAGCAGATTTGTTGCGCTGTGCTTGAGGCTGCTGCGACATTCATGCGTGACGTTCCGAGTCATTGACAAGAAGCCTTCAGGGCCTTTGAATGTTTCCATATAATGTGTCGTCGGCGTTGTTGATGATGTATTGGGCGTGTCTAGAACATCATGATCGCCGTACTGAGATGGGATTGAGTCACACCTCAATCTCTGGTTGAGACGTAACTTGCAGACGCAAGTTTTTTGGGACGAATTTTGGCGAAGACTTCAACTTGATTGTCACTTTACTATGGCGCTAATAGGTGTGTATAGACAGAGGTGGGCAGTAGCGCGCTACATGTAGCTGCCGCTACTAGCGGCCGCTACATTTTCAGTAGCGGTAGCGGTAGCGACGCTACATTTAAGCAATTGTAGCGGTAGCGGTAGCGCCCGCTACATTTAGAGCATGTAGCGGTAGCGGCCGCTACATTTTAAAGTAGCATTGCCCTGCTCTGTGTATAGAAGTCCTGGCATTGTCGCAATTACTTTTCATGATCGATTTATTTGGATTGAACTTAGTTTTTGGAAATAAAAAAGACATTACAACTTATTGGAAATACTTTCCGGTCACATTAATGGAACGGAATTCTCTGGGTGAGAATTCAATGGTATTTATTTAGAAGTTTGACAGCGAGAACACTTCTAAATAGTCCGCAAGAATAATACATCCTTTTTTATTTTTTCACTAATCAAAAACTGTTGAACTTAGATTATAGCTTGGAACATTTTTTTAAGTTAGAATATCCGAAGCAATTCATTCAGTTTATTTTAGCATTCGTTTCATTTTTCGGACCAGCTCTGTGAGTTGAACTTTTCGGCTGAATAGTTTCACATTTTTATTCATCATAAATTTCTTCGCTCATTTATTACAACTAAAAATATAAAAAGTACACGCAATATAATTACTTTTCATACTCAAAGCAAGGTTTTTATATCATATAATGGACCTGCATTTCATTTTTGAACCCTGAAACTGCCGGCCTGAATTAACGTTAGTTTGCTTGCCTGCCTTGCATGACACGCGCTATGAAGGCGACCGTCGCTTGCTGCGTTCGTCTCGTCATCTTCGTCATTGGTCAAAGGTGCTTCGAATGTAGCCGCTTCGAATTTCAAACCCATTAAAATTTTTAAAAGAATTTCTGAGCGATTATTTGTTAGATTATTTTTAAAGTCAAATTCAAATTAAATGTTACGATGTTCATTCTCCCCAGGCATCAAACGTTAGAACAACGTTGATAAAACGCTATTTCTCTAAAAAAAAACTCTCAATCAATGTTGTTTAAATTTTGTCATTTGCCTGCAGGAATTGTAAGTCCTTCCCAAACCTTAAGGTAAAGATCGGTAAAAATTAATAATTGGCGCTGTCAACCGTTAGAGCGATTTCAGAGTTTAGATCATTACTTAGCTAATATTTTTCCGTTCCCATGGAAAAAAAATTTTGTGGTTAAAAGAAAACTTTCGGAATGTATGTTTTACGGCTCTTATAAAAAATTTTAAGAAAATACATACTGACACTTATATATCAACTTTATTCAAATTTCAGAGCTAATAATTTAATGAAATGTAATATTAATTGATCCTATATTGCATTGAATTCTCTCCTATACCTATCGAAATCAAATACCCTCTCAAAACCAGTTCAAGTATTTCATTCCATTTTGTTTTATATAAACTATTTTCTTACTCTCCCAAGTCCAGCAGTCAAGTTGGTTTTTCTCGCTGAAAACTTTCATTTTCATCTCCATTGCCTCAACTCGTCTTATTCCAGTTCCGTATTTTCTATTCAGAATAGCAGTCAAAAACTCGTCTGTTCAGCTTCCGTAGGCGTCTACCACTTTCAGGTTCGGGAAATTATTTTTGGTCGCCATTGATCGAAACTTTGAAATTAATTTCGTATTATGTGCTTTGACAATAAGAAATATCTATATATGGAGTTTGAAATCAAATTAAAACTCTTAAAAAATTAGGATTTTCGTGTTACGTAAAAGTTTAATTGTATTATGGACAACGTCGACGTGATTTAACTGGCATGTTTGTCAAAATAAACAATTATTTTCTTTTTTAATTCATTTGCATTATCTTTTGATATATTATTGGCTGTTTGGCTTGATCCTATCTAATACGAAGAATTTTTCGGTCTGGAATTTAAAACATAAACGGATATGCTCCGTTAATTAATATATATTATGAAGAGCTAAAAAATTGTTCAGTGAAAAATTGCATAAATTCTAAATAACTTTTTCTTGTAGTCTTGTCGTATAACTGTAAAATTGTAATAAATTTGGCGTCGAAGAATTAACATGATCGATTTATGTAAATGTATTATTGGGCACATTATTGTTCGACAATTATTACCCTAATGTTTCGTAGCTACCTGTCGAATATTTTTACTAAAAGAAGCAATACCTTCTTTTTCCAATTAATCAGTTTAGCTTACAAGCTCCAGCCGTGTTATCGAGCTCATAATACACCTTGTCATATTATCCGCATCGTCATTATCGTAATATATCATAATATATATAATATATCGTCATTATCGCATCGTCACTAACGTAACCAATATGCAAGAGCTCATATGCAGAAGTTTTCTTCTTTGTTTCATAACCAAACTCGTGTTCGATGAAGGTAACGTAACATTATGATGGCACACGAATCGCAGCGTCATGGTTGCTCTCCATCGCTACTAACTTTTCTCGAAAGTTGTAGTGGAAACTGGTGCTGCAAAAACGGTCTCTGGAGCGGCTATAATACGGCGGGGGCAGGGCAGTGGCCGGTACATTGCTGGTGACGCTCACAGTGAACACGGCACCATGAACTCCCTTTGGGTGAGTCTACGTCGTTTTAGAATTAAATTTTTATATTTTTAGCGCATTTTCTCATTTATGGAAAAAATTAAATTTGTAAAATAAATTTGTATTTTTTGGCGCATTTTCTCACTTATGGAAAAATACACTATTGTGCTCGCCATATCCGTCTGTCCGTCCGTCTGTGTGTCTGTCTGTCCGTCCGTGACTTCACGTTTTCGTCGACGAGAAAATGCGCGCTCTGTCATCCACTGCAGTACTGAGTTATATTTTTTTAATTATTACATTATTCATGGATGCGGTCTTGGCTAAAACTTTGATGGAATATGATAAGCAACAAAGCCTGATTACAGGATTTTTAATTTCACTAGCTAGTATCGCAATTATATTATATATATCATTAAACAATTTCATCAGAATGTAGTCCTTGGGTATTGGCATAATCCAAAAAAATAAACTAATAAGTAAATTCCATCATCCCATGCACTAAATTACTGCATTGGCAATCATCATTTCTAAAATTATGCTTCAGTTCTAGAAAAATCGAAATGAAACTGTTCTCTGTTTCATTGTTTGTATGCAATACCAGTGCCCGCTGACGTGCTAATTCCATCATCTGATAAAGTTCTATTGTTTGCTATATGATATCCTCCCTTAGGACCACATCCTTTTACTAACCACCGTCAGCTAATTCCATTTATATAATGAATATTGAGACTGAAGAAATTCCTGTTGCGTTTAACGACTTGACGTTGTGTACGTAGATGGCAAAGTCCGTAATTTCCTCCACATGTTGCTTGAAAATCTAACTATTGCTTATTCATATTTTTGCATATTAATAGTTAAAATGCATGAGCTCAATAAAAAAACATTTCTAATATTCATATTTAAATGGGGAATTTAAAGTACATGAAAATGCAAATTATTGAGAACGATAATGATGAAGAAATACATGTACATATTTTATACAATTATACCCATAAAAGGGTAATTTATTTATCGTTCAAAAATAAAATTTATAAGCGGATTCTGTGTAATAAATCAAGATTAATCTAAATTTTAAATGAATTCTATTTTTTCGTGCAGCGCAATGAGCTTTTTCATTTCATCCATCCAATGCCTTTGATAATAATGTTTTATTATTTGAATTATTGTAGAATCTCCCAGAAAATTTTGCTTCCGTATTATATGTACCATTTATTATACATTCATTCACATTATTTAGGTATTTGGCGTTTTTTGTGCCAACAGGAAATTTTATCATCAACGATGCCAAAATCTTTATGATATGAGTCACTGTCGCAACTTATATTCCAGAATTTTCTTCCTTATGAATCCGTGATTAAATACTCCAGAATATCGAGGTAACATGCACGCGTACAGCACAACACGCGTAGAAATTGATAAGAAAGAAAGTGTAGTAGAAAACACACATTGAACAGTTTTTGTCTATTTCCCAGGAGATGGTCTTAGGGCAAATATGTCTGCCTATAAGCACTTTCGCCCCAGCGAGAAACTGGACAAACGCGCACGGAGGAAACTTTCCTTAGTCTTACTTAAGTCGGAAAAAATTCGTATATATCGAAGAAGAGTCGATTTGCCTCAGCATGCGTGGCTTGAACGATTCCATAAGATCGTTTTTATTTCGCGGACGAATGTGAAACTTCCCTCGTGGGCACCGGCAACTGACGAAAGCAAGACTGGTTTGAGCGCCCGGCTTTGTGATCAGGATGGACCGCCATACTTGGTTTCTGTATGCTCGCGCGTACTGAACGTTTGAAACAAATTTTTTATAATTTGTAGTCTATTTTGGGTTATTCATTTATACTCAGTCTTTCATTTCAAGCGAGTCCAACTCGAAATACGAGGTTTCTTTCGTACGTTTAAGGAAGGAAGATGCAAAGAAAGAATAAACTCTAGCGCCGAACGAAAATCTCCCATTATTTCGAAATTTTAGATTTTACTATCAAGAATAGGGTAGTTTTACGATACGCGACCAGAAATTTCTTAAAATAACCTTACATCGTTTATAATTACTAGATTTTAAGGTATCATTGTGCTTTTATTAAATCACTCCTGACTTTTTTTAACAGACTAATGTCTCCTCCAATATTGTAAATTTTCTAATAGATAGAAAATATGCGATAACGCAACCTTTTTTCTGGTTTTAAAATACTTGCTAGTACTTCAACTTTCATTACCCGCTTTATAGATAATAAAATATCTTCTATTTTGCAGATCCTCCCCTTGCTCGCAACCTCAGCATTTGCGGCTCCCCAGCAATACAGCGCTCCTGGAAGGGTGTCGTCAAAAGGATTTGGCGGTGGCCTCAGTGTCGGTGGTTTCGGTGGTGGTGGAGTTGCAATCCATTCAGGTGGTCTGGATCTAGGAGGCCTCGGTGGTGGTGGACTTGGAGTCCATTCAGGTGGTCTAGATTTAGGAGGCCTCGGTGGAGGTGCAGATCCGAGTGGTTTGGCTGGAGCAGTCCCTGTACTCAGTGGGGGAGGTGGGTTCAGTGGAGGTGGATTCGGTAAAGGAGGATTCGTCGGAGGTGGATTCAGTGGAGGTGGATTCGGTGATGGAGGACTCATAGTTGGCGATATTGGAGGTGGTGGATTCGTTGGAGGCGGTGGATACGGTGGAGGCGCCTCTCTAGGACCCTGTGGAGGTGGTTTGGTCAGGAAGGCTGATGGCACCTGCGCAACACCGATTGTGTCAAGGAACATCTTCCTGTACAACGCTCCACGTCCCAAGGCTTCTTTTGGACCTCCACCCAAAATCCCCGACCCTAAGATCCACTACAACTTCGTGTTCGTTCGTGCCCAAGACACAATCGTTGGTCCCAGGCCCGTTGTTGTGCCTCCGCCCCAGCAAAAAACTCTGGTGTATGTGCTCAGCAAGCGACCTGAAGCTATTGGCCAACAGCTCATCGAAGTGCCCGGCCAGCTCGAAGAACCAGAAGTGTTCTTTGTCAACTACAATGAAGGCGAAAACCCAGTTCTTCCTGGAGGAATCGACCTGCAGACCGCACTCAGCCAGTCCGCTGGTGCTGGCAGAATTATTGACGCTAGCGGTGGAGCCGGTCTCGGTGGTGGAGTCGTTGGTGGTGTCGGACATGGAGGGGGTTTCGACGTTAGTAACGAGCTTATTAGAGCAGGCGGTTTCTCTGGAGGATTTTCAGGTAATTCCATAAGCAGCGGTGGAGGGTTCAATTCCGGCATCGGAGGCGGAAATCTCAAAGGCTCATACTCGTCTCCAGCTAAGACGGTAGTGCGAAGCGACCAAGCCGCTGAAGGGTCCAGCGTCGTTACCACCACCCTCAAGCGGGAGGTTGAAGAACCAAGTGAGGATGACAGCAAGAAAGAACAAGAGTGATCAAGTAATGAACGCAGTCCTATTTCGTCATTTAGGTTTACGTTTCACCTTCTCATTGATTTGCCATTACGACTTATTTTATTTGATTGCTACCATCATTTCATCAATAAACGAGTTTCTAAATCTGGGTTTTATAGTATCCTTTTGAACGTTGTTGACAAGTTCCAACAATGCTTAGCAAGACATTCTATAGGCACTATTTGTGTCTGTGACATCTCAGGTGTGTCAATTTGACACGCATTAATAAGTTGATGTTGTTTCATATGCATACAGGACACTTCACAAAATAAAGGTCAGAATTTAATAAACCTTATGTTTGCTGCAATGCAGAGTATTGATAGTTAATTGTGGAACCTTTATCACGTCCGGAAAGTGAGCAACGCTAATGAGCCTTGTATAACAAAACTGACATCTATCACTTCCCAATCAAGGAAAATATTTAGTTTTATCATAAGTCGCAAGCTCGTGATTAAAGCACCTATTAGTGTGAGATGAGCAGACGTTAATAGTACTCCCGTTGAAACGTTTCCGATCAACAGAGTAGATTGTGAGTTATTTAGATAGGAAGTTATTAATTAATGTTTTAATAATGCTTAAATTAAGAATTCACAAAGAATTGTCATTTCCTCTCAAGATCTTCTCTGCATAGATCAGAAAGTGAGCCGGCGAATCTTTTTTCATCAGACCCCGACTAGTTTTTACACCTTAGCGTCTACTACGTGGACCGCATCAGCGAGTCTCGTCTCTTTACATTGTTCTGTAAAGGCTTCGCGGAAACATGCACGAGCGTCCTCAGCCGAATATAATGTATCGGTCCGAACGGTTCGATATTATATTCTTTCCTACATTGATAAAATTCTATGTTGAGATGAGACACTGTATCAACGCGCATTTGGGGCCATGTGTAGGATGTTTTGTAATATCTTTAGGTAAGAATGGTTATAATAGCAGATGTTATTTCATCATTAGTTACTATGTCTCATTTTCTGCTTGGCAAAATTGGTTGTCCACACAATTAGATGAGGTATGCGCGACGCGTGATTCATTCTTTTTACAAATTCGGAAAGATTCTTAAATCTTTTACATCGGAAGCAAAACCTCTAATTTTCCCAAAAATTCTGCATCGAGCAATAAACTATGGAATAATTTTGCTCAGGAAAGTCCTTTGAATCAAATTATATTTTTAGTTTTATAATTGTTCATAGATTCACCTCTTTCAATTTTTTCGACCTTCAAATGATATCATTAATAAATTAACAAGGATTTATAAATTATTTCTTCTGACTTTCCCCTAGTTAACGTGGCTGCTACTAAAATAAATTAGAAGCCGGAACGAGAGCAATAAAAAACAATTTTTCGTTTATTTAATATTTATTACAACAATAAAAAACTAATTTGCTGCCCGATAGCTGCCATCCAAGGGCAGGAAATGGCAACCAAACTGCCATCTATTCACGAATGAACGGTTGGTGTTGATAACAATTTTGTCATCTTGGCAATTGGACTTACAGTAGAGTTAGTGCCCAAAGATGCCACAGCGCCTTAGTGACAATAGTGCAACAGCCTCTTTCGTGCCACAGTGGCAATAACGACAACAATAGCAACACCACACATATCGACAATGTGTGGCAATTGTGAATACAATGTCACCACCGCTCATATCGATAATGGCCACTGTCTCATTAGTGCCACAGTGGCAATTGCGACCACAATGGCAACACCGCCCATGTAGACAATTTCCCGCAGTCGCATTTGTGCTGCAGTGGCAATTGTGAAGACAATGTCACTAGTGCCCATAGAGATAATTGTTACAGTCGTAGCTGTAACAAACCGTATCGGCAATTTTACATACAAAGATGTTAGTGAAGGCTACGCAGTGGGAATTACGACTACTGACAATTCTGCACACAGTAACAATTGTCTCCGCGCTGTGGCAATTGTGCCTGCCGTTGCTACTGTGATGCCTTGCCGGAATGCTTGATTCACGCGTGACAGATGTGCTGGAATTGTGCTTGAATGCTATTCGTTGCAAGCCTTCACTTCGGTCTCTAAAAATACAGGGAACGAAATAACATAGTATTGTAATAGTCATTCTGGTTCATGATACTTGAAAGTGGCTCAGATCGAGTTTCGGTGATGGATAAAAAACTAGTTATACCTTAGGGTAAAAAGGGGCGGGAGGTAGAATGTCGATGGGGTCGGGGGCGCGGATGTCTTCGAAACTGGTTTTTTCATGTCCAGGCCGCTTGCGGGGAGGAACCAGACGCGGTCTCGGTCTCGTGGGCTCGTGGATGAAATTTGTTTGTTTTTGACTGTCATCTCCTGCCCCATAAGATCCCGAGAGGCTGTTGGACCCAAGAGTCTGATGAGTATTCTCGAATCCTCCGTGTACTTGGTGATTTAATCCGAATTGTTTCAGGGTATTTACTGATCCGCCAATCTGGTGGTCATTTTGTCCGAGGGTATTTCCTGATCCACCATGCAGAAGATCGTTGGACCCAAATTTTCCATGAGAAGAAGAGTCAATAGTTTCACCTTGTATGGCAGACTGCCCAAGGGCATCTTGCAGTGACACTCCGCCTGGTAGTTCAGCGTCATCACCAGGCGCGTAGTTCACGAAGAACACCTCTGGCTGTACAGGTTGTGAAGGAACTTCTATGACCTCCTGATCCGCTATGCCAGGCCGTTTGGACAGGACATAGACGAGTGTCTTCTGCTGCGGGGGAGGTACCACGATGGGTTTCACATTTCCAACTGTCTCGGGGCTTCGGATGAAGACAAAATTATAGTGGATTTTTGGATCCGGTAGTCGAAGTGGAGGACCAATAGGAAAATTTGGAGTTGGAGGAGCTTTAAAAACGAAGAAATTTCTCGTAATTTTGGCTGGGACGCATCGACCTTCTGCATTTATAGCCTCCCCTTCACTGCATAGGCTCCCGAACTGCTGATGAATGTCAAAAGTGTGGGAGTCGATGAAGTTATGTTGAAGATGAGGTTCATGAGGAACGTTGTAAGAGAACCGCTCACCAGACACTCGCGATGCTGTGGCGAACAGCAGCGCCATAAGAACCTGGAAAGTGGGTTCAGTCAGGTACACAGGAACCATTAATAAAGTTGAGGTAATATAAATGAGTTGCGTGATCTTATTAGTCAACACGCAATGAATTCTTGAGGAGCGGAGATAATATGTAGATAATAAACATGCTTTATCGAAACTAATGATATATTGAGAGGTCAATGCCCAGGTGTTGACCTTTGATATATTTATCATTAGACAAGGAAATGTCAAGTGAAGGCACTTCCTGCCTGATTTCCAATATATCGTTCAACTTTAACATAGTGCGCCAAGTTATTGAACATGCATCCAAATTTATAAATGTGGGTTTAATTATAAATGCAATTCACAAATGCGGATTGCGAAAGCTCTGGTGACCAGAGCTTTCGTACCCTATAACAATCAAAACCTATATAATGATCAAGTTTTCGAGCCAAGCTTAGGTAATTAATTTATCTAAAAAAACTTCTGTTGCAGTCAAAGGGAGCGATTTGAATTTTGGAAATTCGTCTAGTAACGACGAGCAAGTCTCATTTCATTTAATAGCTTTCAGTAATACGAACAAGAGCTCGAACAAATTCACAGGAATAAAATCGCACAAAAATAAATAATTGTCGGAAAAATTCTAAGTGTTTAAATCCACGGTTAGATTTAGGTCTATCTTCGTTTATTATTCTCCAAATTATGAAATCCAACAATCCTCAAAGAAACACTTATATGCACGATGTTTAAATTTTTAAAAATTATTTCTTTGTTAATTCTGACACGAATCTACTTTTGAATGAAAATAGTCATACAACATTTTGAACGAATTTTCAAAGACTAGCCTAACCCAAAATTACATATTTTCACTTTTTCAAAAGTATTGTAATTCACTGCAGCAAAAACAGCGATCCAAGATTCGTGTTTGCTGAAACTTTTGGCAAGAGCAACACGCGTGAGATGAAGCGTGACTCACAGAGAGCTTCATGTCGCGAAGACTCGCCAGCTGCAATTGAGCGGAGCAGCGTGAGAGGGAAAGCTTTATAGGAGAAGGTGTTGCATGGCAGCGTGAGCTTGCAGATATGCAAAGATGGTTGAATGAGTGCATCTTACATATTGTGCAACTCTTATGCATAAGAATACAACTTTCGGTACAATGCTTGTCACAAAGTCCACCATACTCTTGCATTGCAGTACAAATGTTACCATGTACGTCATAATCATTATCAACCGTGATGTCAGTGCGGGTTACGTTACACGCTTGTTGATCAAACTTCAAATGAAATTTCTAAATGTGATTTTTTGTGCGTTGAGGTGTGTAACATAATTGCAGTAATTATAAATAGTTCATAATGTAATGAAAAATTACAATTTCAGCGAAAAAATGCCTGATTTTGGAAGATTATTCCCGCAGCTGCACATGAACTTTATGGTTTCAGGAAAACATAAGGCATTGACTGCCGTTATATTAAATTAAGATCTGTACATAATCTACGAAATTTATGTATACAATTTGAACTAGACTCTCGCAACAAATGGTAATGTACTTTGCTCGTTTTGCTAGCCAGGGTTTTTCGTGGAGCTCTATCACGCAAAAATATAATTCACACAAAAATGCTGGCTGAAATGACGGGGTTTGGTTTCCCACTTCCACTTATCTCAAATGCACAGTTTCTATCCCCAATTATTTCCATATATTTAATTCAATTTGCGTGAGGAAAATTCCCGGTACAAGTTAAGCTGTGAAGCTGCTTTCCAGTGCACGATATGAAAAACCAGTCGCGGCAACCCCTGGCCCGACCCAACACTTCTATAATTATTCTTATTAAATAACTCGAGTGAGAGGGATACATTGCAAGCGGCAACCCCTGGCCCGAATCAACACTTCTATAATTATTCTTATTAAGTAACTCGAGTGAGAGGGATACATTGCAAGCGGCAACCCCTGGCCCGACCCAACGCTTCTATAATTATTCTTATTAAGTAACTCGAGTGAGAGGGATACATTGCAAGCGGCAACCCCTGGCCCGACCCAACACTTCTATAATTATTCTTATTAAGTAACTCGAGTGAGAGGGATACATTGCAAGCGGCAACCCCTGGCCCGACCCAACACTTCTATTATTATTCTTAATAAATAACTCGAGTGAGAGGAATACATTGCAAGCAATGCTTTCTCTCCGCCTCTAACAATGCCAGAAATTAATGTGCTTGATCACGATTTTAATGAACAGAATAATTAAGGCGTTCCATGTTGATTGCGGCATCCATATGAAGATTCGAGTCCTTGACTGGGACGACTCGACGAAACCTTCAGTTTCAGTGAAATTGTGTAGGAGAATTTAATGAAAAACTAGCAGAATCTACTTTAATTTTTCCGTATAAATCCCTTTAAGAAATAAACTGTCCGAATTCTTCTCATTTCTGCACCTTAGGTTAAAATTTGTACAGTAGAATTATTAAATTGTATAAAGTATACATTTAATTAATTTAATGCAAGTTTCATTGAAGACCAGAGAGTATTTCATATTGACAATTTTCTTATTATTTTTCTTTATTCGGCAAATTAGGCTTTTGATAGGCATTGAAAAGTCAAATATCAGATTTTCAAGGGACATTTATTATAATTTACGACGTTTTGAATTAAACTTCATTCATTATCAAGTAGGAGAAAATTATATTTTTTTTTTCTAGAAAAGAAATACGAGAAAGATAACTTACAATCAATTATTCAATTAATTCGAAACTTTTGGGCACGTACTCTCCTAGAAATTAGTGCAAAATGAAGGTACGAATCAATTCTATATAAGTTAGACTCAGTGAGGTTCAGTTTAAATTATTACCGGTCTTGCTTGGTCATGAATTACTCACGTTGTTTGTTAAATTAATAGTGACGTCAACAATTCTAGAATATTACTGTATAAACATGACATTTCTATAATTTATTTGATTGTCAAAAATCCTCAAGTTTCTTAGGCACATATTCCAAAAAATCTTTAAGTTAATAAACCTAAGTCGAAAAAATATTCAATGCTTTCGTTACGCAAATAATTTTTTAAAAGCACTCATCTATCATAATTTTTCAAGTGTTTAGACCCTTACCTGTAGATATCTATACCTCTATATAGATATCCTACCCTCTAGATATCCGGCCCTCTAGATAACCTGGCCTCTGGATATCTATGCGAGTAGAATTTTATGTTCACATTGAGTGGACAGGCAGCTGTTCACATTTGACCGTATGTATTAAGCATTTGACCATCGTCTTCATGAATACAAATAAGTTATGTTAAATGTACCTAAGCCCTAAACAATACCTAAAGTAAGCTATAATAATATTCCCTGGGCCGTAAAGTCTTCTTCAGATCATGTACTATCTGATGTAATAACTTGTTCTGCGTAAAAACTCTCATAATTATAATTGCGTCTTAGATTTAATTTTTTTTATATTTTTCACAAAAATATTTAAAGTTAATTAAAATTTATCTTTCTCGTTTTTTTCTATAAAAAATAATATCATCCTTTTCGGAAATCTCTCTTTTCATAATCCTAATTAATATTGTGATTCCGCCTATAAATATTTTTTTCAACGGTTAAATTTAATTTCAATTGATTTGCTTTAATAAGTTTTCGAAAAGGGATTTATTGAACCTGTTTTTAGTTTTCTTAGAATTTTTTTAATAAGGTGAACAAACTAATCCTGCATTAAGATCGGAAAATTTATTTAAACATGAATGGATTATCGGCTAGTGTAGGTACAAGATCATATACTTTTAAATTCATCCTACGTTCATGGAAATTTCACCTCATTAATTTGCGACCTTTAGTGAATTGCATTCTCTCCTACATATGACAAGTTAAAAATGGACCATTTACCAATTCTGCGTCAGTCACGATGCATTTTTAGCGCATTTTCTTATTTATGGAAAAATGCACTATTGTGCTCGCCATGTCCATCTGTCTGTCTGTCCGTCCGTCTGTCCGTCCGTGACTTCACGTTTTCGTCGACTAGAAAATGCGCTCTCTGTCACTCACTGCAGTGAGTACAGAGTTATATTTTTTGTGTTATTTTGACGGTACCATCACTACATGCAGACCTTCGAGTTTAGTCACTTACGAGGTGACATAAAGGTAGTTCATATATTCAGATATGAGTTTTTTCCATTCTTCATAAATATTTTTGCTTCATAAATATGTTTCTCGATCAATGTTGCATTTTGTGGGCACTTTTTCGCATAAATATGCTAATATCACAGCGAATCTTATTACAATGTAAAATTCAAGTGAATTAAAATTCATTCAAGTCACATGTGATATACTTATGATCTTTATGAGATAACATTTGTGTAAGAAGCTACAGTGCATTTCATTTGAAATATTCAAATCAACGATAAATTTATGAATCTCAATCTTTTTGGCATATATGTAATTTTTTTAATTATGACATTTAATGTCACAGAATACATCCTTCGAATTGATTAAATTGATCCAGATTCGTGCGATCATTTGTAAGCGACATTATAAAACTGATGAATGTCGGGATTAATCGTTAAGCATGTAAGCGCTTGTCGTAAGCCAGTATCAACAATTTATCCAGATGACTGTGAATACGACGATAATTTTGACGCAAAAGTTTTTCAAACATTTCCTCGGCAACAATTATTTACTGTTGAAAATCGAAGTCTAGAAACTAAAATTCCGTCGGTATTTGCATAGCCAACAGTGGGTGCGGCCACTGACAGTTTAAACTTCGTATGATTTCTTCGTTTTTTTACCCACGCACATGACTCGCATTTATTCAGTATTCCCATTTCTAGCATTTGCTTTCAGAACCTAATGCATATGCCACGACTTACTAGCTTGTGAACTGTAGAACTAACGGCTCTAGCGTGAAGCTTGGTCATCCCTTCTCCTCCCGGTTTGGTCGCCTTGCCTTATTTGGGAGAAACTGGATCTCAGCGTTCGTGAGGCAATAAAATAATTGCATAATGAAGATTATAAAAAATTTTAAAGCGTAATATGTTATTAGAATAACCTACCATCACCTCAAATTGCACACTGTTTTATAAAGGGAAAACGTTCATGTGTTCGTTTTAGGTTTGCATAGTGCATCCATTCGTTCGATAATTGTCTTTGCAATACCCAAGCGCAAATAATTTCTGTGCCTTTCGAAGATGACTGATAAACACGGTTTTATAACATGCAACAAAAGAAAACAGTGTTGTAAATCATAACATGTTTGTCTAACTGTTCATGAGAAGGTATGCGACCTCGGCAGTCGTCACGACTAAGCTTCTCTTTTGAGTTCTCTTTCACCTGCAAAATGTCGCCTTATACGCCGGCCTAGCTGCAGTCACTTGCACTGTCGGGCATCTGCCAAGCGACAGTCGCTGGCGTGACAAGAAACATGTCAAGCGAAAATCATTGGCACGATCAGAAACCTGCCAAGCGCCAGTCGCTGGCACGATCATGAACCTGCCAAACGACAATCGCTACCGTGAAGTCGATAAAGAATGACTGGAATGCTGCTGTCATCGTTTGCTGGAACCTCAGTTACTCTACTCTGACTCAACCTTAATATAGTGGAGTTCTTCGTATGATAACTTTTGACAAGGACGAACTGCTGATAAACATTTTGTGTATATGATTATTAATCAGGAAAATATGACCTTGCAATTACCCGCTTTTTTATTTTACAAATTCAATTTTAATTTTATATAAATATCGATTTGGCTTCATATTGAATCAAATGTAATTCTAAATAAAGAGAAATTTTGCATACAATACGCTTTGCTCTGACAATTATACATATATCCCTTATTTCAATAAATTAATAATTTCCTTGAATAGTCTGACACAATCTTAAATAGTAAACCGGTGAGGATTTCCATGTCTTCAAATCACTTTTTCATCAATCGGAGATATCACTCATTTTTAATTATATTTTATATCGACAGTTATTGACATTCTATAAATCACTCCGCACGTGTCAAGAACGTCCCTATACGTTCGTTCTAAAAAAAAAGAGAAGGTGAGCCTAATTTATAAATCTTGCCCAAGATTCGGGATTCTGCTCACGGTTCTGTAGGCGAAAGTAAATTCCTTGCGTTTGATTTGAACGACCTCGACTGAACGACGCACCTGTCGTAGACTAGACCCTACAATAGAGCTGTCGTAGACTAGACCCTACAATAGGGCTGTCGTAGACTAGACCCTACAATAGAGCTGTCGTAGACTAGACCCTACAATATAGCTGTCGTAGACTAGACCCTACAATAGGGCTGTCGTAGACTGGACCCTAAAATAGAGCTGTCGTAGACTAGACCCTACAATAGAGCTGTCGTAGACTAGACCCTACAATAGAGCTGTCGTACACTAGACCCTACAATAGAGCTGTCGTACACTAGACCCTACAATAGAGCTGTCGTACACTAGACCCTACAATAGAGGTGTCGTAGACTGGACCCTACAATAGAGCTGTCGTAGACTAGACCCTACAACAGAGGTGTCGTAGACTAGACCCTACAATAGAGCTGTCGTAGACTGGACCCTACAATAGAACTGTTGTTTGTTAAACCCTATACAACAGAGGTGTCGTAGACTGGACCCTACAATAGAACTGTCGTAGACTGGACCCTGCAATGGAACTGTTGTTTGTTAGACCCTATACAAGGGAGATGTTGTAGGTTAGACCCTGCCGTCATAATTTCCACACCGTAGCTCCGTTTTTAAGCAGTGCTTTATTTTGATCTCACCCAAAAACAACAAATATATTTTTGCAGGCATCACATCTGACTCAAAAATTTGTATTTCCGTCAAGAATATCGAGAATTATTTACACTTGTCAACTATGATGACCAAGAAACTTTACGGACGTTGAATTTAATCTTGATAGCCATTCGTCTCGGTCTCGCACTTTTAATGAGGACAAACGTCTAGTAAGTTAAAGCAAATAAACAGAGAAAAGCGCTAGGGAGATGACAAGACATGTATTTCTAAAGCTGATTGTAATGTATTGAAAGCCAATTCTAGTAGCTGTTTTAGAATATTATTCATTCCTAATGAGGGGCATTCATATTCTTTTCAATCTAAATTTTATTTTATTCGATTTTCAATTTAATGGTAAGGGAAGGTAGTAAAGGATGCTCTACATGGCAAAATATTAACGTACAATTTCATAAAAAATTAACATCATGTGAGGATCTGTTGAATATTTAATTAATCTATTTATGCAGTGACGCTGGCAATTGTTCTCTGCATCGTAATTATATGATTACAAATATCATACATGTAGAAAAGATTGTTGGTTTATCGGTGCTAATTTTATAATACTAATTTAAAAGTTATATTGTATTTGTTATATTATTATAAATATAACGATACCCATTGGTGAATTAAATTTTTGAATAGTCAGTTATAGTAGCAATTGTTTAAAACACAATTGATAATTTTATGCCAATCTTCATAAAACCTTCGCACAAATCTTCGAATCTTGTGGGTGTTCTCATAGTTGTGTACATTATATGGCGATAGTGGCTGCTCATGGAAATTTACACTTAAGGATATCAGTCGTTAATAAAAAAATCAATCGAATAATTCGTTTAATAAACCAAATTTGTATCACATTTAAGATGAAGATACCGAATTAGAATAGACTAAGCCTTCATTGAGGAATGTATTACTGGAGCTCCACTTAGTTATAGTTGTATCCTTTAACGCCAGAACTCTGGACCTCTCCACTTGCTGAGACCGGAGCCGGGGCTGGGGCCGGGGCTGGGGCCGGAGCTGGGGCAGGGGCAGGGGCAGGCTGGTATCCTCCTCCTACATATCCTCCAACGGCAGCTCCATCGGTAACTACACCACCGCTAACGCCCCCAGGGAAGGACGAGCCAACATCTGCTAGGTTATCGACCACCTCCCCTTGCTGGATGGACTGACTGAGGGCCGTTTGAAGGTCCACACCTCCTGGTAAGTCCAGGTTGTCACCTTCCTTGTAGTTGACAAAGTACACTTCAGGCTGAGTGGGCTTACCGCCTTGTTGAATAACCTTCTGAGCTTCCGCTGCTTGCTTCTTGTTGAGGACATAAACCAAAGTCTTCTGCTGAGCGGCCGGAGCAACTAGTGGTGCCCTGCCATTAGCCTGGTCGGCGGTGCGGATGAACACGAAGTTGTAGTGTACTTTAGGGTTAGGGAGAACACCAGCAGCACCTAGTTCAACTTTGCTCTCTGGAACACGGTACAGGTACAGGTTTCTGGAAACTGTAGCAGGGGCACATGTGCCGTCTCCTCGGTCGGCTTGACCTTCTGGACAATCGACGAGGCTTACGGCGTTAACTTCACTGCTGACGGATGATGATCCACCATATCCACCTCCTACTGATACAGATTGAGCTGATAAATCTGTTTGAGGAGCTTCATACAATCCGGAGGGAGCTACCGGAGGACTTGGTCGAGGTGGGGGGCTTGGTGGCAGTATGGGTGTTTGTTGGGAAGGCGGGGAATATAAACCACTTGGTGTTTGGGGTAGACTAGGAGACGGTTTAAACTGTGCCTGAGGAGCCGAGTAACCGCCACTGGGTGGAGGAGGCGCAGGACTGAATATTTGTGCAGGCGCGGGGGGAGAAATGTCGGGGGCATCATAGAGTTGAGAAGGAGGTGAAGGAAGCTTGTCGGGCCTAGCGTGGCTTAGAGCCAATAGGCTCATCCAAATCTGGAACACAGAAGAAAAATTAAATAATTTATGCTCCATTCTTTTTCGGGGTCTCATCATCGACACAGATGAATTTCATTGCAGGACACATAGGAAGATTAATTTGCCTTTAAGCTAAATGAAATGCTGTTTATTTAAACTAGAATGTGTTCAGAAATAATGAGCAAACGAAGCTGAGAAACCAATAAACTTCCTGTCTGAATATATGCTAAGTGTGAGATTACTTTTTGTTTGAAAATATATATCATGGAACTAATAAATTGCATAATGCTTTATTGTTGCAAATTTTGAATTAAAAAATAAGAACTGCAATCACACTGGTTTTTAATTTAACATGAGATTCACTCCTAACTCCTGATCACCGACTTTGACATATAACAAAACTTAACACAAAGTGAGACAAAATATGAACCGACTATCAAAATATTATCAAAATATGATTTAATGTTACACTCATGCTCCAAGAAATATTCAAATAACAAAAAGATTTATATTTGATCGTTTGATGCTCAAATATCTGTTTTTAAACAAATAATCATACCCAGGATTTCATGGCTGTTAGAGTAAAGGAAGATGAAGCTCCTAGACGGTGCTCTGTTGACACGATCTTGTCAACAGAAATTGTGATGTCTTCCTGAAGACACGAGCCCTATTTATAAAGACACCCAGACAACACGTTCACCTCGTAACAGAATACAATTATTGATCATCCGAACCTTCACCTCGTGGCAGGATTTTAATTCTTGGTCCCTTCTGTCCTTCAGACCAATTTTCTTTTTGATTGCATCTAAAAATTGCTAGTCTCCCTTCATCGGTGCTCCGTATGTTCAGTCCTTATTCTGTATGCTTAACATTAACTTGAAATTATCGGAATATAAGCGGCGGCCAACCATAAAACATTTAATGGCTTTTCTTAAAGCGGCTGAAATTTATGTTCAGGGTGCACAGTGTCATTGAAGAACCGATCAACAGTCTTGGCTCGCGCAAAATTTCTTCACTGTGAATCCAAATCACGTATTACTTGCGACTGCTTTAAACACACGTCGGGAGCTCAATGAGAAAAAGTCTGTATATAAAGGCACTATGACGAGATAGCTGATTTTGATACGTTTAATTTTGACACAGTTTCAAGAGACAATGGAGATTCACTTTTCCTTTCAACGTCAACAACTCTTGTTGAAATTGTTTCGTTACTTCATCGCAGACAGACGCAAAAATTGAGATATAGAATGAAATAACTATTATCAACATATCATTTTCACTATTAACCCTTGGCAACTTGCTTGCAGATGGGCGTTGGGGGCTTAGCCTTTTCGAGTAAAGTTCTAAATGTTTTGAGATATTTATTTTCACCTCTAAATAAAATAATTCAACATATGTTTTTAATCATTGAAGCGAAACTTAATTTGAACATAATACGTTTAATGCTACCATTTGCTGATTGTTTAAAATTGTCTGATGATTTATACCTAATTCGGAAATTCATCAAATGATTTCAAAATATACCAATTGTCAAATATATAATTTAAATCATTATTCCTTAAATATAAATGAGAAAAGGAATAGTGTATTAGCATCAAAGTTTGATCGAAAGAAAGGGGGGAAATGAAACGGCGGTTCGATCATGAAACTTTAATCTAGAAAATGGAATTAAGGGAGAAAGTGGCATATCATAACACTTTCATCTATAAAATGAAATAAATTAATGATTACACCACTTTAATGTAGATGTGACAACGAATGAACCGACTGGCTGATATACTGTAGATAACACTTTTAAAGGGGCAATGACAGATTTAGTATATGTATATGGACGGACCAATTTGCTGTTATGAAACATTGCAATAAATAATAAATAGAATAGAATAGCGAACTAAGATTATCTACATAATATTATTTCAATATACAGTTATTATTGGCATTTTCTTCGTGTTTCCGCTTGTTCTGTTGGCAATATTGCAAAGAAAACAAGCCTACGGCTTCGAAAGACCGTGTTGCACAAATGCTTTCATGTATTGCGCATAGAAATTATTTTGTAATCGTTTTAAGTCAATGGTAATATTTTATATCCATAAAATACTCTGCCTATCAATAAGTGTCTTCATATGTATCTCACTTTCGTTAATATAAAGATAAGTCAATATTATTATTCGGTATCCATTTATACTTTTTTAGTATGAATCTAATTTTAGTCTTTCGCGATCGTTAAGTTTTTCATACAATTTTTAGCCTACAATAAAAAATTACTTATTTCCTAAATATCATCTTAATTTTAAATCATCAAATTACAGTACTTTCTCAATCATCAATCAATCAATATAATCACTTTATTTAGATCGTATATAAGTACTTATATCATTAGTCTGCTTATATCGCAAGTTCACAAGGAATTTAAAAGCAAAGCATATTGTACGGCCTTCCTAAGATTCATAAGCCTGATTTCGCTGCGAAATTTCAATTTAGACCAATTTTTGCTGCGTATAATACCCCGAGCTTTAGCATAGCTAAGTTTTTGGTTCCCGTTTTGAATTGTCTAACTACTAACCAGTTTACTGTTGATAATACGTACTCCATGATGATGGAGCTGGACTCCGAAACGTTTTCAATATCGATATGGTGAATTTTCTTGGCGTTTTCTTTGCTTTTAAATTCCTTATAATCACTTTTATCCAGATCAGGAGAATTGGAAGCATATTGTCGTCCTCTCAGTTCTCAACATTACTAAGCAGCTGATGTCGAACTTAATTAGATTTCTGGTTCTGTACTCGGACTTTCCTTTGTTGGGTCACCACGTGCGATGGATCTGGAATCTGGAAGCATGTCGAGTCTAACCCTCGTCATCAGTTAATATAATTTTATAGAGCAATCAAAATGTCCAGTCCAGGGGCATTATTATCGAAACTCTTCCAGGTACACGAAGCGATCAAGCATACGTAGCGGCCTAGGTACACTATAGGCAGCCTAGGTACACCTAACGATCTAAGTACAGGTAGCGGCCTAAGTATACGGGGCGGCCTGAGACATGTAGCGGCAAAAGTATACGTAGCGGCCTAAGAAAACGTAACGCTCTAAGTATGCGTAGTGGCCTAAGTATACGTATAAGCGGCCTCAGTGCACTAGGCAGCTTAGGTACACCTTACGACCTAATAACACGTAACAGCCTAAGCATATCGAATATCGCAATATTCGAATGGTGTTGTATATAGGGATAAAATAAATTACCACATTATCAAATAATCCTAAGGAACAATATCCATGAAATATTAGATCTGACCCAACACCTTTTTGACTTTTGAATTTTTCGCCCCCAATTGTCCGTGATACTAATAAAATTCAGAGCAAAGAAAAGCCAGGGTGCGACAGCTACAACAGCGCTGTGGCTCCAGTGGAAGGCAGAATTTTTTGGATGTAAGGACGGATCTGGATCCTACTGTTGCTACGGAGAACTTGAGCCTGTGTTCGTGTTGAGCTCGTGATGTTCACGTTGGATACCTCCTCCAAGTGATGTTCCCTGGCCCGTGGACCGACGTCTAATTACTCCATAATCTATACCTGCACCAGCCGCCCCGGGATGATGGACCTCTCTTCGAGCACTCAGCTGGACCTAACTTACCATGGAGGCCAAGTCTTTATTCAATACACTGTAAGTGCGGCAATGACAGAGCGTGATTCATTGTCAAGGATGGTGTTGGGTTAAAGATCTAGTAGCCGCTTCACGGCCTGATTTATAATAAAGATGTAGGGCCAACTGATCTAATCTTATGTTGTCAATAGAGCAAATGATATGAAATGATTTTTATAAATTGATCTAAATGATGTATAATTGAATAAGTGATCGATAACTAATCCCAAATTGATTAAATGATTGTTAAACTCGCTAATTGATCTCAGAGAAACCAATAACAAATTCCAAGTACAACGATTGAGAAATTAATCTCTCCTCGGTATATTAATGTCTTCCTCACTATCTACTTAATAGATGCCGCATGATGACGTACGCATGACGTCATCCGCCTCAAGTTTTCTGCTGGCTCTTCATTGAACGAAACAGTGGCGGAATTCACGCAATCTTTATTACTTCCTGCACACGGTTGATCGAATAAATTATTTCGTATATACAGTTTTTGTCTTTCCTCCATAAAGTTTTCGTTAAAGCACACGTAACGGCCTAAGTACATGCAGCGGCAGAACTATACGTAGGGTCTAAGCCGACGACACGCTCTAAGTAAACGTAGCGTCCTAAGTAAACTTGACGACCAAAACATACTCAAAGAAAAGATAGTCCGGCCCCACATCAAGATTTTTTCGCCATTATCTATTTAAAAAAAAATCCAACCCCCATATTTTTGGCGTGAGTTGCTCATTTTTCAATTAAATTTTTGGAAGAAAATCGACTCATTTTTGCGCTTAGAATAATTCTTATTGATATCATTCCGCTCAATTTTATTTATTCAATATTCTCAATATGTTGATATATTTAGAGGTTTTTTACACTTTTGCAATATATTCAGGAAAGTGACAGATGTCAAGCTGCCTTCAGGCTCGTTCTTTAGTGAGTGGCCTTATAGTGCCAGCTGGGCATATATACATGTCGCCTTTCATATAACGTTTTTTTGTTACATATAAATAAATATATAGTATATAGCTGCGTAAACCTAACAGGTGCATTTATGCCGCCTGTTAATTTTCTTTTATTAAATATATTTCAACAATGTGGTATTTTACATTGTCAAAGAGGGTGGCCGCCAACGGTTTAAAACAGGTTTGCAGTTTTTGAATGGGAATTGCAGATAAAAAATCAGGCCATAGCATGCCAATATTATCATTACATGATAGCATATAACTGTAGTAATGCAGTTCCTGAAGTTCGAGTTATTGATTATTATTGACTATTATTATTAATTGTTATTATTAACTCATTGATTATTATTTCTCGAATTAATTTGTATTCGTTGGGTGAGTAATGTTTAGAAGGAATGAATGACTTCATCCGCAAAAAATACTCTAAGAAAATAAATTTTATATCTTAAGTTTGACATTAACAGGATTAAAATTTATCGTAATGATGAAATTAATCTCTTTGCTCATTATGATATTTCTTTCAGATGGTATTTCAGACTAAAACATCTCATTATGATATTTCTTATATGATCTCTGATGTAACAGTAATACAGATGAGCGACTAAATAATTAAAAGTTAACATGTATGCTATCAAAGGCAAAATTCATTTTGGCCGACATGCGTGATGGAGTACACTCATGAATTTATTGAAATTCAATGAATTTATACAGGGAGTCACTTGTGTACTGTAACATCGTACGTGTAGCCTTCAGCAAACTAAAAGATAAACTTTATTACAAATTCAATATCATTCACTTTTTACTTTAAATTCTGTACTTAATTAAAGGTATTTAATACGACATTTTATTAGTATATATTTTATTCGTATATTGTTATCAGCGTTGAAGAATAGTTGTAGAATAGAAATAGTATTAATATGTTGAATTAATATGTATTAATTCAACCATGAATAGACCAAGCCTCGCCGATCGCCAAATTTTTTGAACGTATTATTTGAATTTGCTGGGTGAACTTGGGTTTTTGCTATTCCAAAATTTATGCATTATTTCTGTC